GTGGTAGAGCGCTCGCCTTGAGCTGAAGAGCTGAGGGACAGCGCCCAGGCCCAGAGTTCAAGCCCCACGACCGACAAAAAAAACAAAAAACAAAAAACAAACAGAAACAGAAGGAATCCACCTCAACTTAAAAGCCATCCATGGGAGATGGGGGTGGAGGCACACTTCGATATTCCCAGACGAGGCAATAGAATTAGGAGTTTGAGCTCAGCTTGGGTTACATGGCAAGAAACAAAACAAAACCTGACAAAAAACAAAAACAATCATTGTAAATATCACACTCATGTTAAACGTCAGTTACAAGATGTGTAGGCTGCTTTTACCATTTCTATCCAATGTAGTACCAGAAACCAGAGCCAGGGTAAACAGGCAAGAAAAAAAATCCAAATTAGAAAGAGAGAAATAAATATTTTTGAAGATGATATAATATATAGAAGAACCTTAAAGATTCCACAGACAATAAAAAAGGCATTAGACTTAATTTAGTTAAGTATCACAGTACAAGGCCTACATTCAAAAGAAGATCAGATACATTTCTATATACTAACAGTAAACAATCTGGAAAACAATTCCACTCACAAAAAAAAAAAAAAAAACCTTAAAATATTTAAGAATTAGCACAAGAGTCCAACAATCAAACCATAGAATACTGCTGAAAGGAAACACAAACAAATGGAAATACATAATGTTCACAGAATGTTCAGATAACCCAAAATTTGATAGATGGTATGATGACTTTTTTCAAGTATAGAAAAACCCATCCTAAAATTTATATGGAACCCCAAATGGCCTAAAAAAACAATAACAAATCTTTTTTGGGTGAGTCAGTCATGGGGCCTGAACTCTGGGGCCTGGGCGCTGTCCCTCAGCTCTTCAGCTCAAGGCTAGCGCTCTACCACTTGAGCCACAGCACCACTTCCAGCTTTTTTTGCCTATGTGGTACTGAGGAATCGAACCCAGGGCCTCATGCATGAGAGGCAAGCACTCTACCACTGAGCCAATTTCGCAGCCCAAAAAGAACAATCTTGAAAGATGAAAACTAGAGGATTCACAATTGCCAATTTCTGAACTCAGAACATAAAGCTATTGGCATAAAAAATGTGTAATGTATAATGTGTAATCTAAGCAAGACAGACAGACAAATGAAAGAAATGGAACAGGAAGGAAAAGAAAGGCCACTGAATATATGAAAAGGTGTTCAACATCACTAAACATTAGAGAAACGCAAATTAAGGTAACAATGTCATAACCCTTCTTCCCACTAGGATGGCGACTACCAAAACAAAGACACCAACCGGCTGGGAAGGTGGCTCAGTGGTAGAGCGCTTGCCTTGCATGCATGAGGCCCTGGGTTCGATTCCTCAGCACCACATAAGCAAAAAGGAAAAAGCCGGAAGTGGCGCTGTGGCTCAAGTGGTAGAGCGCTAGCCTTGAGCTGAAGAGCTGAGGGACAGCGCCCAGGCCCAGAGTTCAGGCCCCACGACCAGACCCCCCCCCCCAAAAAAAAAAGGGAAGACACCAACAGGTGCAATACCTGTTACAAACTGGCACAGCCAGTATGAAAATATGATGACAGCAGTTACCATCAAATCGAACACTTCTACTTCTGAGGACAGACTCAAGAGTTGAAGGGACTGTCAAAGAAATCTGTGTCCATCTATATTCAGGGCAGCACCGGCCACAACAGGGAAAACAACCTATGCATTCATGGGTAATGAAAGGACAGGAAACTGCAGCTATCCTTATAAAGGAATGCTGTTCTAAGAAGAAAATTCTGTAATATGCTTGCGACATTATGTTAATATAAAATAAACCACCTACAAAAAGACAACCATAGTATAATTCCACTCAGATGACGATTTTAGAGCTGTCAAAAGTAGAGCTGTCATTACCTGTGCTGCCGAGGAAAAGGAAGCTGCCATTTAATGGGTCAAAAGTTTCAATTTTACAAAATGTAAAGCCTGCAGAGGTGGATGGTTGTGACTGATGCACAATATTTATTTTATGTATTTATTTTTTTTCAGTCATGGGGCTTGAACTCTGGGCCTGGGCGCTGTCCCTCAGCTCTTCAGCTCAAGGCGAACGCTCGACCTCTTGAGCCACAACACACCTTCCGGTTTTCTGGTGGTTTATTGGAGATCAGAGTCTCTTGGATTTTTCTGTCATTTCTGTGCCCCCCACCCCCCAAGCTGGCTTTGAACTTTGAACCGTGATCCTCAGATCTCAGCCTCCTGAGAAGATAGGATGACAGGCGTGGGCCACTAATGCCCAGCAATGATGCATATTATAAATGCATTTTTAGTTCTACTGACTGTACCCTTAGAAGTAGTTAAGACACTACATTTCATGTTAAGCTACTTCACAATAAGAAAAGAGAAACAGGTAAAGAGATGGAAAAAAAGTATATTATGCAAAACTAATAAATTTTTTTTAAAAAGCTGGAAGGACTTTAATATTCTCAGAAAAACTTCAGAGCAAGAAGAGTTGAGGGGGGGTGAGGGGAATTATGTCATAGGTCAGTTTTCCAAAAAGACACATATGAGCCCCTGAAAACAAAGTATAAAACTAAATGATGCAAAAACAAAACAAAACAAAAAAAAGCACTGCAAGGAGAAGCCGATGAATCCACTATCTTAAGTTGGAATTTTCAACAAACAGCAGACAGCCTCTGCAGGCAGAGCACCAGCAAAGGGCATGCATGCTAACTCCCTCACATCATCAATCGGCTGCGCAGACATTTTTAGATCACCTGAGAGAAGAACACACATTCTTCTGGAGCCACCAGGGTAAATCACGTTCCATATGAAACACACGTTCATAAATTCAAGAGTAGCAATCAGGGCTGGGGTGAAGCTCAGTGGCAAAAGTGCTGGCCCAGGATGTACAAGGCCCTAGGTTGAACTCCCAGTACCAGGGAAAAAAAAAAAAATCATACAGTATGTCATTAGCCCATAATGTTTGGAAATTAAACCTGACGCTGCATTACAGTGCTCACCACTCACCCAACCCCAGTGCTGGGCGCGCCAGGACCCGGGGCAGGCTGGGCAAGCTCTCTCCAGACGTATTTTTTCTTCTAGAACTTATTACTTTTTTCTTTTGCAACTACTTTGAATTTTCAAATAACTTAATTTCAATAAAAAATAATGTATCACTGGTAACCCTCTGTATAGTATCTTTACAACAAAAAAATTAAAAAAATAATGTATCACTGGCATAAAGGCATTTAAAAATATAAACTAGGGATCAAAATGTTTTTCTTTTTTTTGTGCTGGTACTGGGGTTTGGACTCATTGCCCCTGAGCTTTTGGCTTGAGCTTTTTTGCTCAAGACAGTGCCACAGTTCCACTTCTGGCTTTTTGGTTGTGAATGTAGATAAGAGTCTCACAGACTGTCCTCAGATCTCAGCTTCCTGAGTAGTTGGGATAACAGGGGTGAGCCAACAGCCAGTTATTAACTACAGTCTCTACATACCCTGACGATACTCTAACTTCTATTATTCTTCTGGGCTATTTCCACCAACTTTTCCCCCTCTATTGCTTTTTTTTTTTTTTTTTGATACAAGGTCTTTCTACAGTGTACCATGTAGTCCAGTGCCCTTGAACTTCCGACCCTCCTACTTCTACTCAAATGCTGGGATTACTGGCATGTACTATCATGAACAATTTTACGAATTAATTCTTGAACGTTTCAACCAGTACCATTATATGACAGAAAATTCTATTATCTTTTCTCAGGACTAGGAAAAAATAACCTGTATTGTACTATGTCTCTGAAAAATGCTTTGAAAAGCATTTCACTGAAGACATCACTAAGAGTTCAAGTCAAGTTGCACTCAACAAAGTCTAAGCCTGACTTTCAGTAGGTGCTGAGTAATTATTGAAGTGGAATATGACAAACTCTTTCCTAAGCCTGTGTGACAGATCTCCCCCCTGTGTCCTTCCCCAGCAAACAGGTTCCCCAAGGAAGAAAGCATGAATGAGGCCTGCAGACTTCTTTTCCATGGGGTATTAGACTCTTTTTCAGTTGGGATTCTCTGTTTTAGCAGAGTTTTAAGAAAATTATAAATTTGACTGACTAAAGATAACCTTGAGCCAAAAAAACTGGTATAACAAATTTTTTTAAAAAGGTAGAAAGGCAAACAAAGCTAGATAGGTACCAAGATTGACATTAATTAAAAATTTCACTTATAAATCTAAGATGCTAAATATTCAAACAAGGTTCGAGAAGAAATTCATATAAACCAACTGTTTTCTAGATCTTCAAGGCCTATCCTATCAGCCCTTCAACTACCTCTCCACAGCCTCAGAATTTTTTTTTTTTTTTTTTGGGTGCCTGTTCTGGGGCTTGAACTCAGGGCCTGGGCGCTGTCCCTCAGCTCTTCAGCTCAAGGCTAGTGCTCTACCACTTGAGCCACAGCGCTACTTCTGGTTTTCTGGTGGTTAACTGGAGATAAGAGTCTCATGGACTTTCCTGCCTGGGCTGGCTTTGAACCCTGACCCTTAGACCTCAGCCTTGTGAGTAGCTAGGATTACAGGCATGAGTCCTCAGTGCCTAGTCAAGGATTTTTAAGATATTGTACACTTTGGGCTTTTGGGTAGCTTCTATATTTCTGTAAATCCTCAGATTTCAAGCTGAAGTTTCATAATTATTTAGACCCTGTAGAACCCAGAGAGGACTCATGCTAGTATTCAGATAAGTTACCTATCAAATTAAGGAAAGAGCTGGGTCCTTGAGCCATGAGGGGAGTGTGAATCAACATCACCTGAAATCTCTTAAGAGCTAGGTAATTCTGAGTGAAGTAAACCATCACTGATCCCCCAATTTGTTTTCCAATTGTAAAGGTTCAAAATTTTAAGCACTTGAAAGACAGAGGGCAAATGTCGCGCACGGTCCTAGGAGGGCCTTTCAATTACCCAGGGATGCTGGTTTTGGTGGGAGCTCCCATAAGAGCTCAGTGACACAGGCAGGAAGGACTTCCAGGCCTTTCTGCCTCGGCTTACCTTACTGTGTGTGAAAGGGGGCGCTGTATACAAGGTAGGGTGGATAAGTGGCCGAGGCAGGTGGGGGACGGTGTGCAAGGGTACATGTCCATGGATGTGGGGGTACAGGTGAAGCGCGGGGTGTGTGGGTTTCTCTGGGCTCAGGAACTGATGGCCAGGAGGCAGGGCTGCAGCCGTCATTGCTGCGGCGGTCAGTCCAGAAGCTTCTTGTTTACAAACATGACATTCACAAGTGTTTGGAGTTTGTTCAGCCTAAAAGCAAAGAAAAGAGAAGCACTTGTTCAATGTAAACAAAGAGTGGCACAAATTAAGTTAAAGTCACAAAACAAATACAAAGCTGTTGACTCATGGGGGGGGGGGGCTGGGCTCACCAGGGCCCTCCCAGTGGGGGGGGTGGGGTGGAGAGGAACTAGATTGAGTCCGAGAAAAGCTACAAAGAGAGGATCATTCACCAGCTGGATATCTGCTGAGGTGCCCCTACTGATCTAGGTCCCGTGCGCACTGGAGCAGGAACTAGGAGCTGGGCGCCTGTAGTCTTTCTTAGCTTACTTGGGAAGCTGAGATAGGGAAGACTGTGGTTTGAAACAGAGGGAGACGCTGTGTTCAAACCTCAGCAACCAACCAACATCTCCTGAATGGGCCTGGTGGTGCAAATTACAGATACCACACTGGAGAGGTGGGAGCAGAAGGGCGACAAACTCAAAGCTAGCCTGGGCTTCATAGGCAGACCCCGATCTAAAACAAAAGCACCAGGAAGTGGCGCTTTGGCTCAAGTGGTAGGGTGCTAGCCTTGAGCTGAAGGACAGTGCCCAGGCCCAGAGTTCAGGTCCCATGACCGACCAAAAAAAAAAGCTTAATTACAGAAGCACCAAACCTCCTTGGCTCCACACAGGAGACACACAGACAAACCCCGACACTCACCATGGAGCAGGGCAGCGTTGAAGTCAGGACAGATCATCACAGATTTAAGTGAGAGAAACAAAACTAGAGTAGGGGGGTCATATTTTCTAAGTATGGCTTATTTATCTTTAGTTCTAGTCTGAAGATACAAGACACAGCCGGGCACCGGTGGCTCACGCCTGTAATCCTAAGTGCCAAGGAGGCTGAGATTTGAGGATCGTGGTTCAAAGGCAGCCCAGGCAGGAAAGTCTGTGAGATTGTCATCTCCAATGAACCTGCAGAAAACTGGAAGTGACGCTGTGGCTCAAAGTGGTAGAGCGCTCACCTTAAGCAATAAAGCTCAGGAACAGCGCCCAGCCCTGAGTTCAAGCCCCATGGCCAACAGAAAAAAAAAGAAAAGGGAAACACATACACAGACTCTTGGAAGCAGGACACGCACCTGCTGAGCTGGGTGGGACGGGGGCGGGGTGTCCCCGCTCCTCTCCTCGGCCCTGGGGCTTCCACTTCCTAGGGTCCCATCTTCTTTTGGGGCTCCTGGGGGCTCCCCACTACTCTCACCATCTGCTTCTTCATCACCAGCTTCTGAAGAGCTGCTACTAGTGCTGCTTACCTGAGGAGACTTTAAAGACAGCCTTGTGTAGCTAATGCTTCAAAGCAGAACGATGTCAAAGTTAACCATAAGACCACGCTGTCACTATGAACCCATACCTCATCTTTCAGGGCCAGGTTTTCCCCACCGCCATCCATCTCGCTGTGGACCCCATTCATGTTGGCCACCACCTCAGTGTCATCGTAGTTGCTCAATGGGTAGATGTCAGCAAACTTTGCTGACAGCGGTGCGACATCTTCATCATCACTACAACTGAGGCAAGCAGAGACGTCACCACGAAGCCCTTGGCTTAGGGAGGGCCATGAGGAACCGTGTGCTGAGTCCCCCTTCTCTAAGAGTGCTGTCTTCATTCAGAGCACTGAGTGAAGTGCCATTCCTGCTGCTTAACACCTCTAAGTCACCGGAACCAAAAACACGCCGGGAAGAATAACAAATAGTGAAACCACAAACACATTGTCAGATCTGTACTCTCACCTGTAATTCCCTGCACACAGCTATGCTACCACCTGGAAGCAGGATGTAATCTTTAAGTAAAATTAAAAGAACAGAGAACAACCTCTGGTCTCTACAGTTGGATTTTTTTTTTTTTTTGCCAGTCCTGGAACTTGAACTCAGAACCTGGGCGCTGTCTCTGAGCTCTATTGCTCAAGACTAATGTTCTACCACTTGAGCCACAGTTCCACTTCCAACTTTTTGGGGGAGAGGAGAAGGTGGGAGGTAGGAAGGATACTTAATTGGAGATAAGATCTCACAAACTTTTCTGCCCTGGCTGACTTCCAACTATGATCCTCAGATCTCAGCCTGAGTACCTAGGATTACAGGCATCAGCTGTTAGGGCCTGGTGAAATAGTTAATCTTAAAAGAATCAAACTCATGGTTTTTGTTTATGAGGGTCACTTAACAATGTGACTTCTGGGCTGGGAACGTGGCTTAGTGGTAGAGCGCTTGCCTAACATGCATGAAGCCCTGGGTTCAATTCCTCAGTACCAAATAAACAGAAAAAAGTGGAAGTGGCGCTGTGACTCAAGTGGTAGAGTGCTAGCCTTGAGCAAAAAGAAGTTCAGGGACAGTGCCCAGGCTCTGAATTCAAGCCCCAGGACGGGCAAAATAACAAAACAAACAAACAAAAAAAAAACAAATGAACAAAAAACAACTATGTGACTTCTTAGTCAAACGCTGATGGCTCATGCTTGTAACCCTAGCTACTCAGGAGGCTGAGAACTGGGGATCATGGTAAAGATACTCCATCTTCTTTCCAAATAACCACCAAAAAACTAGAAGTAGAGCTGTGGCTCAAGTGGTAAAGTGCTGGCTCAGGGTCAGTGCCCAGGCCTTGAGTTCACAAGCCCCAGGACTGGCTAAACAAACAAACAAACAACTGTGACTTCCTGGTGCGGGAGAACTACATGTGCCTGCCCGAGGCCCCACCGGCACACTCATGAGTTGCATCCGCTTAGGCACACAATGGCCTCTATGAGGCCAAAGTTCCAAGGACCAAAAAGAGTCTTCACCAGCAAGGGTGCTCAGGATTACCACATTCAGTTGCCCTCTCTCTTTTTAAGGAGACAAGCATCAACCAGTTGTGCTATGTCAAACCCTGGAGCTTACTGAAGGGAGACGAACAGCACCTGCTCATGCAGGGTACCAGGCTGCCTGGGCACAGGGCGATAGTCACCCCACTCCTGTAGTGCTGCCACTGGCGAGGCTGCGCTGCTGGGGAAGCCAGGGTTCTGTTCTGAACAAAGTGGCTGCTCAGCTGTGGCTGACCTGACGGAGGTCCACCAGAGGCATGGAGCACTGAGTGAAGCCACCCGCGCTCCCTCCCCAGGCAAAGTCAGCATGGGAGAGACAACGCAAGCCAAGGACCACACTGGACACCTTCAAATCGCAGCAGCTGGCATGTGGAAGACACAAACCACAAGCTGCCCAAGGCCCAAAGGCCTGGAGGCCCGACCAGGCTGCCCAGCCAGCAGGGAGTAGTTCTGGCCCAGCTGAGAGGCTCCATCATGCAACACTCACCAGAGCCCCACGGCTGACATCTGTCGGCAGCCACGGCAGCAATGAGCAAGCAGTCTGAGCCTGAATTTGTCCAATGTGGATTCTGACTTTACATGGTGAATTTCCCTGTCTCCGTAGGAAATGCGATAACATATCACAAATCCTAACCTCAACACTCAACCCAGGAACAGCACTTTTTTTTTTTTTGGTTGGTCGTGGGGCTTGAACTCTGTCCCCACGCTCTTCAGCTCAAGGCAAGCGCTCTACCACTTCCAGTTTTCTAGTGGTTTACTGGAGATAAGAGTTTCAAGGACTTTCCTGCCTGGGCTGGCTTTGAATCGCGATCCTCAGATCTCAGCCTCCTGAGTAGCTAGGATTACAGGTGGGAGCCACTGGCGCCCGGCTAGGAACAGCACTTTTAAGGCAACAGGGCAGGGTGATATTCTTCAATGAATAGTCATGGAATTCTGACCGGCCCTTTAGAAGGATTCTGAGTTTAGGGCTCGGGTATGGTTCAGCACTGTTTGCCTCTCATGTACAAGACCATAAGCTCTACTGACAGCACCTTAAATTAGTAAGAAAAAAATGGGGTTTGTGAACAAGTCCAAACATTGAAAGCATCATATCCATTAAGTCTGAGAAATCAGAGGAACAGAGCTGCTGAGGACAGGGTATCAAACCTCTCCTATTTGGGCACCTCTCCAGGGCTCCTACTGACTGCACAGTAAATAACACAAGAACACATGTGCAACAGAAACTTAAGCATGTTTGGGAAACCACACACATCTATGTGTAACCCAGCCAAAAGTCAGCATACAAAGTCTGCAAATGGTAAGGCCACAATGCTGAAAGTATCTAGGAGCAGGCACCTGCAATGTGGGTCAGTGAGAGCGCACAAATCCCTCACCTTAAAGATGTGGAACACAGAGAACAACCCTTCACCTGCTTGCTAAAGCGATGGGCTGAGCTCTTAGCAAGGCATGGAGCAGCATGAGCATAGGGCTGACAATGAGGCGATGAGTAGCGAGCGGGCCCCGCTCCGGCAGAATGAGCAGACACTTCCCTGCACACCAACATGTGTTTGTTGTGTGTGTTTATTTTTTCTGTACTGGCATTTAATAATTTATCATTTTTAAGGTAATAAAATATTGTCAAGTTTAGGTTTACTATTTCATGTTTTAGAAGATGCTTAAATCCATGAAAGGTCTTTTTTTTAATGAAAAGCACTACAACGATGCTCATACTTCTATAGACATTACTGAGTCTGTATTTCTTATTATTGGATACTGTTACAGAGGCACGACTTACAAAGTTGGTGCAGAGCCATTGTCTGTGAGGATGAGTCTGGGATGGTGCTCAACTGTGATGGGAGAGCTGGAGCCTGACCCTGAGCTGGCGGAGGACGTGCTAGGTGGGCGCGTCTCAGAGAGATAGTCGGGAGCAGAGTCCACTTGCAGTGGTAGCTGGTGAATGTGGATGTCATCAGTGACCGGGGGGTCCATGATACCACAAGTGAGGATGTGTGACAGGCTGCAGTCATCACAAGCACATCTGATTGGGAATTAAGGACAGTTACCAAGAAAGCCAGCACGCGGGCCACCGTGTCCTCGGCCTGGCTTAGGGCGGCAGGCAGCAGCCCAGCTCACCTTCTCCTGTAGCTGCAGTTGGGACAGTCGGGCAGGCTCAGCCGGGATGACAGCACGTGCCTCACGGTGTCTGTGAAGTTGCTCTCGCCAGGAACCACTTTCTTATTAGTTAACTAGAAGAAAGTATTAAACAGCGGCTTAGTTTTGTGTGATACTTTCCTGTCTGTGGGTAACAACAGTAATACAAGCCATGCTCACATAGAAACCAATGGGCCCAATCCTCGGGGAGAGAGGAGCAGGGGCAGCTGGCTACCCTGGAGTCAGAAGCCAGGGCTGAGTCATACTGGGACCAGAAGCTCCAGCAAGTGTACTGTGTGCCCACACCACAGACATCTGACAGCAGGGATGCGGCACATACCCAATCTCTAAACTCCTGCTGTGTGCCCAGGACTTGTGAAGCACAAGGAAGAGAGCTGTGGGAATGGAGATGTGTTCAAGGAGGAAAGGCTGAACTCAGAAAGAGGCACTCACTTCCCACTGACTAGGAGGCATCTACATTTCAAAGAGAAGGCAATCTGGGCCAGTCTTGGAATTGAGACAAGTGATAACTAGAAATGCTGCCACTCAATAGGATAGAACAAGCTCAGGATATAGTTCAGAGGCAGAGCAATTGCTTAAACAAGCAAGGCCCTGCAGTGATCCTTAACATCAAACACAAAAGAAAGGGACAGAGGAAGGGAGAAAGGAAGGAAAAAAATAGAGCGCAAAGTGCGCATGGAGGAAGGCAGGAAACCACCAGGGACTGAGACTCACAAAGTAGACCATGAAGGTCAGAGCAGGGGCAGGAGTGTGCACGGCACACCAATGAGAAATCTGGTAAGTTTCCTTCTTTCTTTTTTTTTTTTGTCGGTCATAGGGCTTGAACTCTGGGCCTGGGTGCTGTCCCTCAGCTCTTCAGCTCAAGGCGAGCGCTCTACCACTTGAACCACAGCGCCACTTCCGGTTTTCTGAGTGGTTCATTGTAGATAAAGAGTCTCACGGACTTTCCTGCCTGGGCTGGCTTTGAACTGCAATCCTCAGATCTCAGCCTCCTAAGCAGCTAGGATGACAGGCGTGAGCTACAAGCCAGACGGCTTCTGTTAAGTTTCAAAACAAAGTGGAGGGTCAGGAGGCCAGTCATGGGAAGGTGACTGGTAGGCTCTGTCAAAGCCCTGCCCGCAGAAGGTGCAGAGCTGCTGGGAGGGGCGGGTGGGACAGCCGTCCTGCTGGAGGCAGGGCCCCGCGTGCCACCTGAGAAGCTGGACTGAATCCCAGCTCTGGTATCTCAGGCACATCCTTAGCCTTGTGGTGTGTATGCTGGAGAGACTGCGTGCCCTGTACGGGAGCAGGGGAGCTCTGAGCAACAGCTGTCTAACTCAAGGGCACTCGGAACTAAGGCATGTAAATGTGCCTTTTCATTGACGAGTATGGGAAGAACAGAATGTGAGTCAGTGTACTTTGAGGTTAAAAATCACTGTCTTTCAGTGCCTAACCCCTGGCAAAAAATGCCCATGTGTTCCTCAAAAGGTGTCTGTCACACGGAGCACAACTGCACGCTGAGGTGCCATCGGCTCTGTGCAGAGTAGGGTGGATTTCTTTTAATTGCCTATCCTGTTGACAACCTTACCTGTTCTTCAATAAATCGCCTTTGCTTAAATATCTCCCAATCTTCTGTTAGTGTACGCTGCTTAGTTTTCATTGTCATCTAGAAAAGGAATGTAAAACCAAAACATGTTAGTAACAGCAACCAGAACATTTTCAGATTTTCTTCACATGGCAGAAATGATATACACAAGAAATATCATCTTTCAACCAAACACAAGCACAAGGCTCAAGTGCGCTGGCAGGTATTCCTTTCAGCAGCTTACCCCCTTATCAAACCTGTCCCGTAAGTGCGTTTCTCACATGAAAGGCAGGTTCTACACTGAGCAAAGTGACACGTGTAGACTCCCAGCTACCTGGGAAGCAGAGGCAGGGGGATCTTGAGTTTGAGGTCAGCTAGGGTAAAATACAATATAGACAATTACAAACGCAGGGGCCAGAAGTGTGGCTCAAGTAACAGCATGCTTGCTATCAAGCAGAGGGCCCTAGGCTTAATCCCTATTACTGTAAAATAAAACAATGTGGACTCTGTGACTGCACTGTTGGCTATTTGGAGGCTTGAGACCTTCTGCACAAGCCTAGCGGTGGCTACAGACAGATGAACTACCCAAATTCTGCCTGTCTGGCTATCCTTACCCAGACAAGCCACAAGCAGAGCTTCCTACCATCAAATTTGCTCCAATGTGTGCCATACTGCCACCTGTTAAACAGCTTGGAAAGTGCCCTCTTCCCACAGCAGCTGAGTCAAAGGAGTCATGATCAATGACAGGCCACAACCAGGGAAAAAGGCTCTGGTTCCACAGGCAGACAAAACACGATTTAGGGACACATTCAGTCTAAAGACAACACCAAGCAACTTCTCTCTGCCAAGCACCATGTGGAAGGGAGCCGCTCAGACATGCAGCCCAGTTCTGAAGCCCCGATGTGCTACATGTATGGGAATAAGGAAAGTGTTGCCCAGGAGCATACCAAATTTCTTGAGGCCACTGGCCCTAGGACAGGCTCAACAGCACCCAATTCCATAATGTGACAAATTTTAAAGGCAGAACAACAAAGACCACAGAAAGACAGGTTGTCCCTAGTTCTAGAGAAGGGGTCATTTATCACTACAGTGCCTGTGGCCACAGTGAGACAATTGCTGTAGAAGGCAGTTACCAGCTGTGGTAGCTAAAACCTGTGAGAGGCAGGCACATGCCAGTCCCTTCCTTCTTCCCACTTGCTCAGCACTCTGACAGGTGACAGCAACATTCAAATGAATGATCGCACGACACATATGGGATTAGCACACATCTGTATCTAGAACCACAGCCCTAATCTTGTAGTCTCATAAGCACAGTACAGAACACTGGCACTTCTCCTTTTTATTCCTCGTACCACCATGACTTTTAAAATACAGCCATGGCGCTGGGAAGGTGGCTCAGTGGAAGAGTGCTTGCCTTGCATGCATGAGGCTCTGGGTTCGATTCCTCAGCAGAAAAAGTGGTGCTGTGGGTCAAGTGGTAGAGCGCTCGCCTTGAGCTGAAGACCTGAGGGACAGCACCCAGGCCCAGAGTTCAGGCGCGCGCACATACGCACGCGCGCACACACGCACACACACACACACAGCCCAGAGTTCAGGCACACACACACACACACACACACACACACACACACACACACACACACACACACACACACACACACACACACACACACACACACACACACACACACACACACACACACACCCATGTTGAGTGTTCTTCTTGATGACCTTCTAGAAAGCTGAGAGGCCAGGGGTGAGTGGCAGAGGACGTCTAATCAAAGAACAATGTGGTGTCACTCTAAGGCTGTAGCCCCTCACATACCAAGGCGTTAGATACGTCTCCACAGGCATGGCCTACCTCCCAACCTGCCCCTCTCCCACGCATCCATGTAGGTGCCCATGCTCCATTTCTAGACGGTTCTGGATGGGTGAAAAATGGGCTCTGGGAAGCATAGTGTTCAGCAAACTTTTCCCTGATGGCTTCTCAATGTCTCTAAGGCTCCCATTTGAGGATGTGACAGTCTATGCAAGTGGCAGCGAGGGGCAGGCTGTTTGTGGTGCTGCCATTCTTTGCTGCCCAGTGAGCAGGGCCCCTACCAGGGGCGGGCGGGGGAGGGGGGGTCTGTTGGGATCAGCTTAGGCCCATCACTCACCTGCTCATCCACATAGGCATCGATCCTCTTCTGGCACTCTAGCCATTCCTCAGCAACTCTGTGCAGCTCCTCCTCAGAGCGCTGGTACCTCTGCAGCAAGGTGCTATACGTGTCCTCATTGCAGGTGTCATGTGTGGTGGTCCCTAGCCTAGGAGGGAGAGGGCCTGTCACCAAGACTCCCACACTGAAAGCATAGGTGTGCTTCTTGCTGCTCGGTCAGCTCACCTCCCAGCTCCAAACACAAGGACGTTGTGGAACACCACTGCAGGGCTGCTGTGAAGTACTAACAGTACATATACAAGACACCCCAGACAATTTCACATAATATATGTTGGGTGCGAGGGGGCAGGGTAGAATGGAAGGAGGTTAGGAGAGAGGACAGACAGACAGACAGTTAGGTGCTGGCCATCCCAGCTATGCAGGAAGCTTCAATAGGAGGACTGCAGTCCAGGCTAGCCCACACAAAATGTGAGCTCCTCTTGCAGAAATAATGAAAGCAGAAAAGGCTAGAGTGTGGCTCAAGTGGTAGAGAATCTGTCTAGCAAGCACAGGGCCTGAGTCCAACCACTAGTACAGCCAAAAAATAGTACAAAAGAAAAAGATAAAGAAAAAGATGGTAAGATGGAGAATGAGACAACATGAGAAATGAGAAACAAAAGACACACATGCAAGCTGGGTATAGCTGCATCCACCTATAATCCCACCTACGTGGGAGAACGAGCTCAAGACCAGCCCATTAAAAAGTTAGGGAGACCCTGTGTAGAAAACCAAACAAGGAGAGCGCTGGAGGGAGGCCGGTTGGTTGTGGGCTCCGGCATCAAATCCTGAGGTGCAGAGGCAATTCTGGAGGACTGCAGTGACCAGGGAGTTCTACAACTTTGACCAAACTCTGTCTGACCCTTCCGTGTGGAAAGCCTCACAGCCACATTGGCCAGAACTTCACATGCTCGCTGACATTGGCAGCAAACACTATTCCTGTTCTGTGGCTTACCTTTGGTAGCCGAGAGCTGCTTCTGTATCTTAAGGAATAAAGACCTATCCCATGGGGTTGCTGTGAGACACTGTGATGTAGCAACGTATAACATACACTTTCTTCATCTTCACCTGTCCTAGCTCTGAAGCAGGCACATACTGAACAGTGGCTTACAATGCTAGGCAGGTACCCTACTATGTGCCACATTCCTAACCCCTGTGCATGTGCGTGTGCGTGTGTGTGTGTGTAATGGGGTTTCAGTTATGGTTTTTTTTGCTCATTAATTGAAGAGTCTCATGGGTTAGTCTGCCTGGGCTGACTGGTAAACAAGATGCTTAGATCTCAGCCTCCCAAATAACAAGGATTATAGATTAAGCCTGGGCACCTGGCTTCTACCAAGGTATTTTAAATAATCAGTTTTCTTTGAATAGGTGACCTCTGTTGGTTTCAGGGTATCACATTATACTTTTAAAGCACTTCATTTGAGTGAATATAAGTAACATCCTGTATTTCCATAACTTTAAAAACTTGCTAAAATATGCACAAAATTAATAACCCATTTATTGAAAATTTACAATTTGCGAAATGTTTTCCCATATGTCCTGTAATTGAGTCCTTTTGTAATAACTTTATGTACTATGGTTCCCATTGTACAGATAAAGAAACCAAAGCTTGGGCCTGGTTAAAGAACTTTCCTAAAGTGATACAAAAAAAAAAAAAAAAAAAAAGAAAACCAACAACAAAAAAACCCCTTAAAGGCCAGGCGCCAGTGGCTTACGCCTATAATCTTAGCAACTCAAGAAGCTGAAATCTGAGGATCACAGTTCAAAGCCAGCTGGAGCAGGAAAAGCGGAGAAACTCTTATCTCAAATAAACTACCAGAAAACTGAAAAGAGCACTGTGGCTCAAGTGGTAGAGTGCTAGCCTTGAGCTGAAAAGCTGAGGGACAGCGCCCAGGCCCAGAATTCAAGCCCCATATCCAACCAACCAACAATAAACCCCCAAAGGGCTGAGGGCTGAGGGCAGAGCTCAAATGGCAGAGCACTTGCCTAGGAGAAGTAAGGCCCAGGGTTCAATCCCAGTATAAGACATGAAAATAAAAGAATGAAAACTTTTAACTTATTCTTGTATCATTCCTAACAATATAAAGATAGCTATACAACTAAAAGGAAAAAAAAAAGATGAACACTCTTGGGAACATATGTAAATAATGGTTTTGAGGAGGAGGAGGAAGAGGAGGGGGTGAGGCAGTGAGGCAGGGAAGGGAAGCCTGGGGTGAAGGTGGCCGCTCAAAGGCAGGTCAGGAGATCAGAAAAAACTTCTTTCATGCACCAACATGTCACAAATACACTACAAACTGTAACAAAGTTATCTTGGCAAAGACACTTGAGAATCAAAGGTAACATTTATAAAGAGCACAAAGACTATGGACTATGTGTAGGGCTCCATATTGGCATATTTGCAAATGTTACAATTACAACACATGTACACCAGTTAAAAAATGCCCATGTAAGAAATTTATGACTTCAGAGCATATAAAAGTATGTGTGTGTATATGAGTAACCAAAGGGAAAATATGTAAGAAACATCAAATGTGCTTACAGAGCCCTTACCACTCTCTTCATTGTTTTATTTTCATATTTTATTTTTAGTAACAACCAAATTGTTTTATAATAGAAAAAAATAACAAATCCACTTAAACTGAATCTTTGTCATAGATGCAAATGGACAGAAATGGCTCTTTGCCCTTTTACCCGGATTCTACCCTGGGGTGGACCAGGCTTGTGAACACTGAATAAAGGGGAACTCAATCTCCGGGCTGCTGAAGCTACTGACACATGTGGCAGAAGTTGTTGGGGAAACCGTCCAGAAAACGGGAAGCACAGCATCCAGGCACGGTGGCTGAGAGGATGCCCAGCAGCTCAAGACACGGCTCTGCTCAGACCTGCGCTGAGTGTGCAAACAGCCCTAGGCCCTTTCATGAGCTGTGAAACAGATTTTCTTCTACTGCTCTGCACATGACCTACTTCTAGTTTCTATACAGTTCACCAAATCTCTCTATATATGTGCTCCTCCTCCTTCTTCCTACCAGAAGCAAGCAAGCAAGCAAGCAAGCTCACCTTTATTCCAAGTTACAGACACAGATTATTTCAGGCCACAGGAAAGCGGCAGTGATGGGGGAGGGGGGTAATGGAGACTGCTCTGGCAATATATTTAGTAAGCATGCCAGTGCAAGACCTGGACCAATGGCGGCACTTCTACAGGACAAACAGTGAAACTCCTTAATAAACAGACAGAAAAAATAGGGTAGTGATGGCAAGATGGGACCAGAAGATGGGGTGGGGTGATAGGAGTTACTATTGAGTACAGAGTTTCTGTTGGGAGAAAAAAAAAAAAAAAGCTCCAGAGCCGGGCTCCTGCATGTAATCCTAGTTACTTGGGAGGCAGAAGTTGGAAGGATTTGAGAAACTGAAGGTTTGAAGATAGCCCACGCAAAGGTGAGCAAGACTCCTTTCTCAACTAATAAAAAGCTACGTGCACCTACTATCTCAACCATGCAGAAAGTATGAATACAAGGATCATGGTCCAGACCAGACTGGACACAAAGCAAGAACCTATTTAAAAGAATAATGAAAGTAAAAAGAGCCAGGGCATGGGTCAAGTGGTAGAGCACCTGGCTAGTAAACATGGAAGCTCTTTATTCAAACCCTAGTACCACCAAAAAGAACAGGTTTAGAAATACATGATGACGGCTGTGCATGTTAACTAATGCATAATGCATTATACCTCTATGTATTATTATTATTGTTGTTATTATTATTATTTGCCAGTCCTGGGACTTCTTTTGCTCAAGGCTAGCACTCTTGAGCCACAGACCCACTTCTGGCCTTTTCTGTGTAAGTGGTACTGAGGAATCAAACCCAGGGTTTCATGCATGCTAGACAAGCACTCTACCCCTAAGCCACATTCTCAGAGCTTGAATTATATATTTAAAATGACAACTCTTGTTGTATTTTACCCCCCCCAAATTAGAATGTAATATTAAAAAACTATTGTGCTGTAAATTTAAGTGATCGTCAGTATATACATTTTATCTCAATAAAGCTGCTAAAAAGAAAAAAGTTTTCTTATACTGTTATTAATATACTTATTGTGCCGGGCGCCGGTGGCTCACGCCTGTAATCCTAGCTACTCAGGAGGCTGAGATCTGAGAATCTTGGTTCAAAGCAAGCCCAGGCAGGAAAGACTCCTATCTCCAATAAACCACTAAAAAACCGGAAGTGGCGCTGTAGCTCAAGTGGTAGAGCGCTTGCCTTGAGCTGAAGAGCTGAGGGACAGCGCCCAGGCCCAGAGTTCAAGCCCCATGACCGACAAAAAAAAGATATATACTTATTGTTATTCTGAGGTGCTAGGGTTTGAACTCAGGGCCTCATGCTTGCGTAGGCATGCACTCTTAACACCTGAACCATATTCCCAGGCACTCCTTGGTTTGAGTTGTTTTTCAGGCAGGAAATTGCATTTCTTTGTTCAGGGCTGGCATCAGACCATGATCTTTCTACCTACAGTCTCCCATAATCACATCCTGTATCACAGACATGAGCCACCACATTGGCTCTCTGCCTTGAACTGTGATGATTCCCATCTTCTGTAATGATCTGAATTTGAAGTAATCCCCAAAGCTTGTAAGTTGAAGACAACTCCCCAGAGCAGGATTCAGAGGTGGGGAATCGAGAAGGTAAATGGATAATGAGGACTCAAAACACAAAGTCATGGCGGGCGCCGGTGGCTCACGCCTATGAGCAACTCAGGAGGCTGAGATCTGAGGAGCAAGGTTCAAAGCCAGCCCAAGCAGCAAAGTCCATGAAGCTCTTATCTCTAATCTGCCACCCAAAAAAGCCAGAAGTGGAAGCTGTGGCTCAAGTGGTTAAGTTCAAGGATAGCACTGAGTTCAGGTCCCACCACACACCATAATCAAAGCTCCAAGGACTGTTGGGGAGTGGTAGAAACCAGATGAGGAAGACTCCCAAGCATACTCGATGCTTAGAACAGTGAACGCAGAAGCCAGAGGGGCCAGAAAGCAGGATAAAACAACACTACAAGGGCCAAGCTGAAATCCACAAGTGCCATGCTATCACTGCAGAAGTCTGCCCAGCCCTTTTAGTGCCAGTCTCTCTCATCCAACAGATTCTCAGGTCATCCTCCCCCGAGGTGTGGATGGGAGGTTGTGCTCTAGTATTTCAATATGGCCAAATAAAGGTGGTGGCTGCTATTAGGGTACATTTACAATATGGGAACGTGTTTATATATGACAAACAGATGAGAAACAAAACCCAACGTAGCCGGGAGCAGGTGGCTCGCGCCTATAATCCTAGCTACTCAGGAGGCTGAGATCTGAGGATCGTGGTTCAAAGCCAGCCCAGGCAGAAAAGTCTGAGAGACTCTTATCTCCAATAAACGACTAGAAAACCGGAAGTGGCGCTGTGGCTCAAGCGGTAGAGCTGAAGAGCTGAGGGACAGTGCCCAGGCCCAGAGTTCAAGCCCCATAACCGACCAAAAAAAAAAAAAAAAAACCAAATCAACAAAAAAAACCCAACTTACAGAGCTGTGGTAGCTCATGTGTAACTAGGCTTTGCTGAGAAACATCACACAAAGGGGGTGCTTACTAACTGAACATGGTGACCCCAGGATAAACACATGCCCAGCATGCATTCCCTCACTTACCCCCAGCAAATTCCCAACGTTATACACTTGCCTTGGTCTTCCTCAGGAGGAACAACCCAAGGGTGAATAGAGAGGAAGAGCTAAGGCATGCAGAGGCCTTTGTGACAGAGGCATTGCACAGTGAAGCCCGAAGGGAGCCCAGTCACGCTCTGAGCTGTGTTCTCATCTACCGCCCATCAACTCCCAGGGACAACCCCTGACCAAGAGTGACTCTGGGCATGGTAAAGCACGACACTTTCCTGTCATGGGAGCTACACTGTAGAGACCCCCGTGACAGGTGGAAAACCACGAAGCAGCAGTGCTAAGTTGTCACCTGTTCCTGCTCTGCAGATTCTCACCTGTTGCGGGGGTCCGGGCACGCAGCCCGGTGAGAGGTTACCATTTACACTGAAGCTGCAGTGAGTGACCAACGCTGCACCCACTGTGGCCTTCCTGCATTTATGAGATTTTAGCAGCGCTTACAGTCACTACTTACAAGCTCAACTGTATTGTTACTCCTTAGGTTTGAGCTTTCTGCCCAACTTTCTTTCATTAGGCCCCATTGTTTTTCATGAAGAAACCTCCAGCAGTCTGCAGTCACACACATTACAGAAAAGACCGGGATGCCACACATCAGGACACACAAGTCAACACTGAATACCTGATCTGCGACACCAGTGCTGGCAAGCTGCTCTGGAGAAGTGGCTCTGAAAAGACCAGATTTTCAAACAGATGTTTATTATGCAGTTCCCAGGTCACCTGGAACTTTCTCAAGTGTTCGTTTTCCTAGTTAAGGGGACAAAAGACAAACAAAAGATGAACTGGTAAAGAGGAAAAATTTCCCAGCAGGATCTCCTATGCGGCCTCTGCACAGTCCCAGAACATGGGGCTTGTGAGCCGTCTCTGCGCCCTCCCAGGGCCAAGCACACAGTAGGCCACCTCTCCTGCTCCTACAGGAGCCGCACATGAAGAAGGGTGAAGGTGTGCACACCGATGGATGAAGGAGGAGCAGAGAAGGACAGGAAACAATGTATTTGACTGTCATTTCTTTGCAGTTAGGCTTCCAAAATGTAATAGAAGCTCCACATTTTAAATCGTTTTAGTGCATGCAAATCATTTGATGCCAAGGTACTAACTGCCCCCTCCACTCGTGGCATTCTGGCAGTGGCAGAATTTCCTGAGAAATTCAAGAGAACTCAGTGTCTTCAGATGATGCCTTGGGAGTACAGTGGTCGTGACATCACTGCACCAGTACTCCATGTCTTCTGGATCGTAGTATTCTGATATTTCAACCATCTTCTCTATCAATCCCATTTCTTTCTTTTTTTAGTGGCAGTCCTGGGGCTTGAACTCAGGGCCTGTGTGCTGTCCCTGAGCTTTTTGCTTAAGGCTAGCACGCTATCACTTTAGCCACAGCTCCACTTCCAGCTTTCTTGGTGTTTAATTGGAGATAAAGAGTCTCAGGGACTTTCTTGCCCAGGCTGGCTTTGAACTCTGATTCTTAGATCTCAGCCTTTTGAATATCTAGGATTACAGGTGTGAGTCACTAGCATCAGCTAATTTCCTTCTTAAAATCTCACCCAGTGAGGGACCTCTTCAATTTATGTCTCATATTTTTTATAACCCCCTTTTATCTAAAAAAGACCAGACCAAACCAAACCAAACCAGACAACCCTTTTCTTTGGTGCTGGAGATTGTACCCAAGGCCTTGGAATGCTAGGCAAACACTCTACCACTGGAGCTACTACCCTAGTCTTTTCTATTTTCCTTTGTTTTTGAGGCAGTATCTTGCTACAACTTTTGCCTAGGGTGTTAAGAAAGCTTCCAAAAGGCAGATACCCTTATTTCTATGCCATGCCTTCTCCATCAAGGTATGACTGACTTTCTGAGGAGGTCAGAGGCACATCTGAGTCCTTTGCTAGAACGGTGTGGTCCCTGCAAGGGCCAGGGTGGCTTCCAAAGGCCTGTCCCTTTCCTGTGTTGGGCTACTGGGCATATACCTAGGAGGGGTGTGCACACGCACAGGAACTCAGGTCATTCTCTACAGGCCTCACATGCACAACAGCATTAACACCTAAAAATACAAAGGACTTTTCTTTGTTCTCTCTATTAATGGAAGCTCTCTTCACTGTGCTGCCTGGCCCCATGCTTTGCCCCCCAGGCCTCAGTATTTCTGTGTCATCACATCCAGATATCAATCCCTTCAATGCTTCCACTGGCTGGCAAGGTCCCCAGCGGTCCTGTGGAGGAAGGAACCTGACAGTGTACAGAGCATGTGACAATGCAATCACCGGCCATGTTCCTCCACCACACTCACCAGAGTGCCGAGGAAGGTGCTGATGGAGCGTGCAGCCTGGCAGAGGGCCCCGTACTCCTCCAGGAGGAGGGAGACGAAGTGATGTGCTTGTGGCGGGCCTTGCAGGCCGGAAGTGGCCTTTGCCTTCGCAGCGGCTGACAGGTGCCGGAGCAGGCGGACCTTCATTTCCAACACATACTCCCGGGCTTGCTGCTCCAACCGCTGGTACAGCTGGTAGGGGTCCCGCTCACAGAGCCTGCAGAGAGAGCCACCGCTTAGATGTGGCCTTTTCACGTAATGGAGCTGTTATCGGGTGGTCTTCATGTCAGTGAGCACCTTCCCTAAGGCGTTCTGGAGGTGGTCACCTACTGTCACCTTCATGACCACCTGCAAGGGTCCCCAACATTCCCCTCACGATGAAGAATGCAGACACAGAGCATCGCCAGGAGTTCACACAATCTACTTTGCCCTGAGCTATTCCTCCATGGAGTGCTGTTTATGCAAAGGAATCAACCTGGGCCTCAACCACACACCATTAACGACTGGCAGGACTGATGAGGATTCTCTGGGAAGGCTCAAGTGTGACTGACTGACCTACCCTACAGAGGCAACACTGGCTGAGACAGACTGCAGTTTCCTTCTTTCTAGAAACTCAGGACAGAATACAAATGGGTTTCTAGTATTTTTATAATCAGACATAATTTATGCTGTTTTAAAATTATTCCAACAGGGGCTGGGAAGGTGGCTCAGTGGTAGAGCGCTTGCCTTGCATGCATGAGGCCATGGGTTTGATTCCTCAGCATCACATAAGAAAAAAGAAAAAAATTGGAAGTGGTGCTGTGGCTCAAGTGGTAGAGCGCTAGCCTTGAGCTGAAGAGCTGAGGGACAGCGCCCAGGCCCAGAGTTCAGGCCCCATGACGGGAACCCCGCCCCCCAAAATAAAATAATTCCAACAAGAAATGATAAACTATAGTAAACTGAAGAACAGGGGGAAAGTACATTCCCAAACCACTGATCACAATGACAGCCAACATTGTCATTGATTTCTTTCCAAACGGGGAGATGATCTTTTTACTCAAACTCTTTTTTTTGGGGGGGGGGGGGGCAGTTTGGTTGTGGAGGCTGAACTCTGGGCCTGGGCGCTGTCTCTCAGCTCTTCAGCTCAAGGCTGGAACGCTATCCCTTGAGCTACAGCACCACTTCCAGTTTTCTGGTGGTTTACTGCAGATAAGAATTTCATGGAGGGGCTGGGAAGGTGGCTCAGTGATAGAGCACTTGCGTTGCATGCGTGAGGCCCTGGGTTCAATTCCTCAGCACCACATAAGAAAAAAGCCGGAAGTGGCGCTGTGGCTCAAGTGGTAGAGCGCTAGCCTTGAGCTGAAGAGCTGAGGGACAGAGCCCAGGCCCAGAGTTCAGGTCCCATGACCAGACTCCCCCCGCCCCCCCCCCCCAAAAAAAAACAAAAGAATCTCATGGATGTTCCTGCCAGGGCTGGCTTTGAACCGCGATCCTTAGATCTCAGCCTCCTGAGTAAATGGGATTACAGGCGTGAGCCACTGGAGCCCAGGCAGGGGCCTCAAACTCTTGAGCCTCCTATGCTCAGCCTTCTATAAAGAAGTGATTACAGGCATGCACTACCACAACCAGGGAGATGATCCACTCTAAAAAAAACTTGTTCTGAAGTATTCAGCATTATTCTGGCTAAAGTTATCATCACTGCTTTTAACTGTGTACTTCTGAGATCCTCTAGATGGAAGCCTAGGACCACTGAAAAAGGACCAAAGCATCCATCCTAACGTGCCACCAGGAGGACCCAGTTGAGCGTGGCTCCTGTTAGAAACAAACCATAAAATGTACTAAGCTTATTTCTTGGGCTTACTGGGTCCTTGTGGGTGCCATGTTAGGTCAAAAGAGAAGAACATAAATTGCCATTTCATTTTTATTATTATTATTATTTTTTCTGTCGGTTGTGGGGCTTGAACTCTGGGCCTGGGCGCTGTCCCTCAGCTCTTCAGCTCAAGGCGAGCGCTCTACCACTTGAGCTACAGCGCCACTTCCGGTTTTCCGGTGGTTTATTGGAGATAGGAGTTTCACGGTCTCTCCTGCCCGGGCTGGCTTTGAACCTCGATCCTCAGATCTCAGCCTCCTGAGTAGCTAGGATTACAGGCGTGAGCCACCAGCGCCCGGCTGCCATTTCATTTTTAAACAACCACACTAATTAGACTGCAAAAGATGAAGACAGACTAAACTTTTACAACGAAACGTGAAATCTTACATAAAATTCAATTAGAAAAATAACCTAAGTTGGTAAGATTCCCACTATGGTTGGTATATTTTACCAAAGTAATCTTGTTTTGCTTTTTTACAGTGTTGAGCCTTAAGCCTAGGGTCATTTTCATGTGAGGCCAGAGCTCCATCCCCACCCTTGGTGTAATTTAGATAAGGTATAGTTATATAGCTCAATCTGGTCTTCAACTCACTATATATTCCAAGCTGGCCTTGAACTCATGATCTTTCTGTCTCCATTTCCCATGTGCTATGATTACAGACATGCTCATCGTGCCCAGCAATAGATAATACTCACAGAATGTCTCCTATTTGCGTAAGGAGAGCCACAGACAAGTCAAATGACATGGCAACAACCAGACTCACAGGACCAATGGAAGATTCTGGGAAGCAGGAAGAGGGGAGGAGGAGCGTGGCCAAGGGATGGTGGTAGTGGTGCTGGTGGTACGCTAAGTCTGATCAAAGCAAACGGGATGAATATATAGGCATATCAAAATGAAATCTCTTTATACAACTAACTGATGTTTAAAAAAATCAAAACCACTGGATAACTTATCTTTAGTTCAGTGTGGGGAGGTTAGACACAGTTCTTAGTATCTTTGTCCCTTTTTTTTTGGGTCAGTTGTGGAGCTTGAACTCTGGGCCTGGGCGCTGTCCCTCAGCTCTTCAGCTCAAAGCTGGCTCTCTTACCACTTGAGTCACAGCGCCACTTCTGGCTTTTACTGCTTATGTGGTGCTGAGGAATTGAACCCAGGACCTCATGCAGGCAAGGCAAGCACTCTACCACTGAGCCATCTTCCCAGCCCCTCTTTGTCCATTTTTGTATTTTATAAATTTATGAAAATCTATTACAAACATGAAATGAGCCAGGAATATGTGGAAGATGTTGCAGAAGTTCAGTCATGTACTGGGACATCAATACTGTGCTAAATTTTACTCTATGGCATCCAAGACATAGCACCAATAATGTGAGAAGTCATGAGTGTGTACATTTCCCACACTCATGAGGAAACATATCTACTAAAAAAGGCACGTCACCTGAAACACCTCAGACACCACGAGTGTGTGAGGTCAAACTCTGAATGATGCTAACTATAACTCATCTCCTTGAATGTCTGATAAAATCTACTGTACAGTTAAACAAGAGTTTATAAGATCCCCAAAGAATGCATTCAAAATGTGAGGCAGAAAGAAACCAAAATGAGAATCAACCCATGAAATGTCCAGCTCAAATTTGTTGTTTTATTTTGAACATTTCAAACATCAGGGGGAAAGAATGGTACAAGCTGTAGTAAACTGAAGAGATGCAGGGTGGGAGCTACTTCTGGGTGGGCAGCTACTCAGTAGACCTAGCTCCTCGGCCCAGCCCGCCCTGCCCCGCCCCACACTGCCAGGCTGCAGGCACCTTCCCAAGCTGCCCCAACTCACATCTCAGTAATGTGGGCGCTCAGCCTTTCTCCCTGGGCTGGTAAATTCAAGAGTGTTTGGCATCACCTTTGTACAGCAGAGACACCAGGAGACATTGTCAGTTTTAACACAAGGAAATGACAGAAACGTTTTATGTTTCATCAGGAGACCTTTCTATGTTTTACCCACAAGGCTCATTTTTCCCAGCTGTCTGCTGAAGACCTGCACCACATCCTGGGCCGAGTGAGCCCAGCCCAGCTTCACTCAGGACCTAAAAGGAAATCCACAGGCGGCAGAAGAGGCAAGGACTGGACAGGGAAAAACACACACGGGTAACGTGTACCTATCCACGAGCTCCTTCACTCCCTCCTTGTCAGGTACCAAAGTCTGGTCCTGGTCATCTGCCAGCGGGGTCCCTGCCTGGCGATATATGCATCGGACCATGTAGCGTACTTCCGACCAGTAGTTCTGCAGCTGCTGTGGTTCCCGGTCCGTCTCTGCTGAGATGTCTCTGTGACACAACACAGAAACCAGCAGTTAGGGCAAGTGTCCATCTGCAAGGTGCTCCGGAGCCGGTGGCTTTCCCTCCTGTGTGCCCACTGGCTTCTTTCCCAGGTTGGGTACAAAGCCCTGTCAGGTCCACTTCTCCCTCTTCACCTCTCCACAACCGCCATCACTACCACCCGTTTCCGTTACATTCTAATAAGACTTCTCTCACTTTCTCAGGACAAGTTTCCTAAGTATTCATCCCTCAATGGCAAGGACTTCTTGTCTTGTGTCGCTCCCCTCGTAGCAGCCAGGCCTTCATTCTCAGCCCTATACTCAGGTTGGTTCAAATTTGGCTGCGTTTTGTCAGAAAAGCCATTTCCCATCCCACCCCAACATGCTCTGGAGACACCCTGGCCCAGCGTGGGTGGCATGGCTCACATAGCACATACCTGCGCTCGCTGCAGGCCTCACATGAGCAGGCAGGGTCCGGGGGCACGGTGCCCAGCCCTGTGGGGGTCAGTGTCTGCCCACCCAACGTCAGCCTGTTGGGACCACTGGCCTCTGTCTGGGAGCCCCCCAGTGGTGAATGAAGAAGAAGATCTTGACCCTGCTTCAGAAACAGAATAGACCAGTCACGTCCAATGTTCAGCCACCAACCTTTTCTTGACTAATTAGAAAAAGGCCTATAGAAGAAAATTTTAAAATGAGACATTAAAAACATCTTAACCAATATTAACTCAGACGTGGTCTCTCAAGATTTCTATTTGGATTGATTTTTTTGGTTACTATTCTGATGGCTTATATCATCATCACATGAGAGAACTCAATAAATTTATTCTTTAAGAAAAAACAGTTCTGTCCCTGGTGTCCCAAGCAGTATGTGAGATGACCCGCCAGCGGGAACCTTCAGGAATGAGGGACCCTTGGCCACCCAGGAGTGGTGGAGACCCTCAACAAGAACTGCCAGGGTGCTCTGAGACCAGCACCCAGCAGTGGGAGGCAGTGCCTCTCTCTCTGGGGGGTGCCTGCTTTGATTGAGGAACACAGAGGTTTTAGAAGAATATTCTAGACAAAGCCAAATGAAGCTGGTGAGATGGTGGTGTCACTTGTACCCACATACAGAAAGGATCTCAATCAATCACCAGTGGAGATCAGAACCTCACCCTGGAGACATAATCCCTACCCTTCCTGCTCTCCCATACCGCTGGCCCCTGGCCCGTGGGTGCCACGCTGCCCGGCGGGCTGGGCACTGCAGCATCCCCACAGGGCTCACAGGAGGCAGCCAGATCTCACACATCCCCAACCGCCTTCAAAGACAAGTGTGGAGGCCTGCCTGGGACAGGCCCCTGCAGAGAACTTTCTGAGAGTCAGAGAACGGCGCTGCTTCTCCCAAGGGAGCAGTGTTCCTTTACCTGGGTTCTCTACCCAGTTTGCTACTGGACAACGAACCCTTCCAGGGCCTATCTTGTCCAGGGGTTGAGCATGTAGACATCAGAAGAAGAACCAGAAGAGCCCGAGCAGCCTGCCTGGTGGGCCAGGAGCAGCACGGGGCAGTGTCACCCCTGCCCGGTGGGAGCTGGAAGCTGTGACCTCAGGAAAAGCAGGCTACAAGGGGGAGGGCGCCAGCCATGGGCCAGAACACTGGTGTCCTGACTTCCAGCCTCATCACCGAGCCTGTGGTACTGTCCCACAAGACCAGAGACTGCCAGCTTCTCACAATCAACAGCTACAACCTGTTAGGACCACAAGCCTGGTGAGCCGAAGAACCACAGACAGCCTGGCAAAAAAATGAAAATCCTACCCAACTCCTTTCCACAGCTTTGTCTACTGTGGATGCACAGAGAAGGCTTAAGGACCCTGAGCATAGCTTCTGCCCTAGTGACTGGCTTCCCTACCTACATCCACCCTAGTGACTGGCTTCCCTACCTACATCCACCCTAGTGACTGACTTCCCTACCCACATCCACCCTAACAACTCTGACTTCACTACTTACACCTTTGGAGAAAGCTTGAATTAGCCAAGACAGCTGGGGTTCTGTGCAGATTGGATTTAAAGCCTAAAAATGAGACAAATCTAAAACCGAAAGTAACGGCAAAGGCCATGAGGTCTGCAGATCTCACTGTGGGCAGTGACAAGCAGTCAGACAAGACAGGCTAACCATGGGTAGTGGCAGGGGAAGCTGGGCTGGAGGAGCAGGCCCTACCTTCAGTGCACAGGCTTTCTCCCCCAACCTCCACTCCATCCCCCTTGCCTGGTGATATGCAGGCTGACTACAGCCCCTTTCCATGTTTGCCTCAGGAGGCAGAAGTTCATGTCCTGTTCACCCCCAAGCGCTCTGGGTAACTCTGAATTTATTTACTATAGCCTCCAAGTTCCGCAGGACAAAGTTCTGCCTCTATGTCACTGCATACACTCCTTTGCTAGAGCATGCGTCCACTTTGTGTGGCTTCTGATAAACCAGTCAAGCCTCAGCAAGAAGACCTCCTACCCTGTAAGGTTAGATGAGCCACTTTTTGTCTCTCTGATCCAACTCTAACTCTGCCATGCCCTGTGATGCAGGAACTTGCTCGACCTGTGGGCAGAGGGACACTGAAAAAGCTCCACCACCAGGCAGCTCTGCCCTTTGAGTATCAAAGGGGGCTTCTCTGCAGTTAGAGGTGGCACCACACTCCCGAGTCTGCTCCTGAAGCCTTGCTGCCGCCACTGTGTTCTCCACAGCTCTATCTCCCATCTTCCTTAGTGGTTTTTGTGGCTTTTGCTGTTGTTGTTGGTCGTGGGGCTTGAACTCTGGGCCTGGGCACTATCCCTCAGCTCTTCAGCTTGAGGCAAGCACTCTACCTCTTGAGCCACAATGCCACTTCTGGTGGTTTTCTGATGGTTTATTGGAGATAAGAGTCTCACGGACTTTCCTGCCCGGGCTGGCTTTGAACTGTGATCCTCAGATCTCAGCCTCTTGAGTAACTAGGATGACAGGCTAGGATTATAGGGAGCCACCAGTGCCTAGCTTATGGTTTAAAAAGTGCCAGGTCCACTTCTCGCAAGCGCCACTGACGTCTTAACTAAACCATCCCAGCTCAGTTCTTTTCCTGGATCTCCAGACTTTTACTTGCAAGTTCATGTGAGTGGGAACCAGGCGCACCACTGTGTACCAGAAGCCACGAACTGTGAAAGTGACACCTCCCACTGACAAAGAGATGAAGTCTCTGAAAGGAAGGCACAGGAAGGTACACTTGAAATCCTTTAGCAGGGCACCTCATAGTACTTGCACAATCTGAATCTTAGTCATGTTCTTCCCAAGTCAAAGACAACTTAAAAGAATACAACAAAACGTAGAACTCAGTATAAAATAAAAAATATCGGCATCTAGTAACAAAATCGAAGGCAGGAAAATTATGAATTGACAAGAAAGAGGGCCAATGAATAGAAACAGACACAAACTAATGGAGATCATGTAACTGGCAGCCAAAACTCTGAAACTGAGCTAGATGCCAGTGGCTTATGTTTGCAATCCTAGCTACTCTGGGGAGGGGGGGGAGGGAGGGAATAAGAGCCGGCCGCTGAGATCTGAGGATCTTGGTTTGGAGCCAGCCTGTGGAGACAAAACCCTCCAAATAATTAGCAAAAAGTCAGAAGTAAGGCAAGGTTCACATGGTAGAACATGAGTATAAAAGAACATGGGCGTAAAAAGCCAAGCCATAGTAAGAGGCCTTGAGCTCAAGCTCCAGTACTAGAAAACAAAAACAAACCCTAGCCACCAGGGGCTCTTGCGTGTCATCCTAGCTACTCAGGAGGCTGAGATCTGAGGATCGAGGTGTTAGGTACTTAGATAGGATAGCAGGTAACGAAGGAGACTGCCACTTGATATTCAGGCAGGAGGGGACGTGTTTTACCGACTGCTGCCCCCACAAGGTGGAGACCACATGGCTGAAAGGGACAGGCTGAGGGAAGGGGTGGGGGGAAGGTGTGGCCAGGCCAGGGAGGGTGTGGCCACAATGGATTCAGATGTAACCTCAGGCTCAGGGACTCTCCCACAGTCCCATGGGAGGGGTGAGGGGGGTGTGAGCTCTGAGGAGGGGCGGTGACTGCCCAGGTGTGCCATTTATCTAGGTGACACTGGCACTGGGTGGAAACAGCCAAGAAGAGGGAGGAGTCTGCCTGGCCTTCCCAGGGCAGACCTTACAGGCAGGAAGTCCGTGAGACTGATCGCCAATAAACCGCCAGAAAACCAGAAGTGGCGCTGTGGCTCAAGTGGTAGTGTGTTAGCTTTAAGGTGAAGAGCTCAGGGACAGCGCCCAGGCCCAGAGTTCAAGCCCCATGCCAAACAACAAAAAGCCACAGCTCCCACCCCCCAAAAAAACACACCCTAAAAGTCGTACTTATATTCCAGAACACAGAACATGTAATCATGAGAAGTGCAGAAATAAAACAGAAAAACAAAAACTTTTTGAATTAAAAGTGAATCATTTAAAGAAAAATAAAAATCACAGTTAAGGGTTAGAGGCCTGGCCGGTTGATTGATTGGGCACCAGCCAATGAGCAAGAGTCAAGGCACTATGTCAGAGTCCCAGTCCAGGCCTAAGAAAAAGAAACATACACTAGGACAGATTTATAAGCAGGCTAAAGGGAGAGTATCAATGAACGTGAGGACAGGAAATAAAAACACAGAAATATGACAAAAATGACAGACCAAACAAATGTCTTAACATGAAGTAGCAGACAAATTTCCAATTTGCTTTTTCTGTTTCATTCCAGCACCAGGGCTTGCACACAGGACCCTGTGCTCTCACTGGGCTTTTCTGCTCACATCTGGTGCTCTCCCACTTGAGCCATGCCTCATCTGTCATTTTGCTATTAACAGGAGATAATTCTGTGTCAGTGTGTGTGTGTGTGTGTGTGTGTGTGTGTGTGTGTGTGTGTGTGTGTGTGTGTGTGTGTGTGTGTGTGTGTGTGTGTGTGTGTGTGTGTGTATAGAGGCTGGCTTTGAACTTTGACCCTTAGTTTCAGCCTTCTGGGTAGGTAGGAAACTCCCAAATTGGCTGAAACTAAACTTCCATATCTAGCACTATAAACCACCAACCCAAGGGCTATCACAGTCAAAATACTGGTAACTGTGGTAAAGGGGAAGTCTTAGAGGCAGGAAATGAAGAGACTGCTTACACAGAAGCCAAGGATGGCTACAAGCTTTTCATAAAACACTAAAACCTAATTTTCAAATGGAACATCTTTCTAGAATGAAGGCCAGGGCGATGAGGGCATGCAGACTACAAAGAGCCTTGAATAGGCAATGTTAAGGGCATTGTTTTGTTTTGTTTTTTTGGTCAGCCATGGGACTTGAACTCAGGACCTGGGCGCTCTTCCTGAGCTCTTTTGTTCAAGCCTAATACTCTACCACTTTGAGCCACAGCTCAAACCACTTCTGGTTTTCTGGTGGTTAATTGGGAGAAAAGAGTCTCATGGACTTTCCTGCCGGGGTTGGCATTGAACTGCAATCCTCAGATCTCTGCATTCTGATAGCTAGGATGACAGGTGTGAGCCCCCAGAGCCTAACGCCATGTTCTGTCTGTCTGTTCTATGAAAGGCAGGGTCTCCAGTAGAAGCTGGTCTCTAGT